GAAAAGGAAAAATGCATTTAGCTTATTTCAGTGAAAAACAATAGGGAATTGTTCAAGGGGATGAAATAAGGACAGACCCTGGAAACAAAGGAGTCAATGGATTATATGCTAAGTGCATATAATCTTTCTTTTACAGAATTGATATCCCACTGTTTTGCCCCATCACGGCTCATGGGGTTCTGTACAGAATTTAGTACAACTCTACCTTAAATAAAATTATCCCCTGAAATAAAATATGTTTATAAAATAGTCTTTAGAGGCTCACTTATCCTCTCATGGGATACTGGCAACCACATCCTTGTTTTCTGAAAGATTAATGCATGCAACTGCTTGAGAAAGAACAAGGATATAATTAGCTTGGTATGTTTATTGCAGACGGTTATTTTCCTTGCAAGCTTCCACAGATCTGAAAAGTTGGTTTAAATATAGGTTATATTGGGTGATTTCCCACAAGCGCTCACTCTTCTCTTTGGCCCGATGGTACGTGTCAATTTCACACACGCTGCTGCGCGACCGCATTTTGTCCTGCAGCTTCATGCGATTTCCCCCGCGTCTACTCAATCCTGTTTTTTGAGGATTGAGTAGACGCGGGGAAAATCGCACAAAGCTGCGGGGCAAAATGCGGCCCCGCAGCAGCTTGTGTGAAATTGACACGTACCATCAGGCCAAAGAGAAGAGTGAGCGCGGAGCAGCGCTTGTGGGAAATCACCCATTATCATTTGCTTTCAGCTAAATGAGGCAACTGAAAGTTATTCTGTGGCAAACATCTTAACTACCAATCACCTCTTGGCTGCCTGTCTGCAAGCCTTGCTTGTCTCAGCTGACTTGCCTAGCTGAGCTTCTGTTATGTCATAGAATGTGTCAGCGATCAGAATCTTGGCAAGCTCTGCAGCTTCTGCTAACGCAGTGAGAGAGATGTTTTGCTAAGGAATGCCTCTGAAAGAACCCAAGGACAGACAGGGAATACGAAAAGAGAGGATGAGGGGAGGAGTAGGAAAAAGATCGTATAGGAGGTGAACTGAGGAACAGGAACATGAGGGCAGAATATATAGGGGAAAGAGAGACCCAAGGTGTATGAAATACAGCCACTGAAAATGGAGCTTGTAGAAAAAACTCACATGGGACTGAAGTAGGGAAAAACTGTATATATCATGGAGAAGATGATACCGAAGAGCTAGGTAGGCATAGGTACCTTTGGTATTCTGAGACAGAGTGATGGGCACAAATACCAAATGGTTGCCACAGGAGGCGGAGCCAACTACAGAATGCCAGGGAGTGAGGTCACGCATAACTCTAATAATAACTCTTCAGCCTTTCAGGAAGCAGCTCCGTTTAACAGGACTCCTTCCAAAATGAAAATACTGTCTAAAAATATTTTATTCTATCCTCGCAAGTAGTGCAGTGAAGATCTTTGTGCTGTGGTGACAGCAGCTGTTGAAACAATTTTTAAAAAATTTGTACAACCAATCAGATTTCCAGTGGCCAACCAGAAGTCCCGCGGGGCAAAAGCCCCACCTGGTCCCGCGTGCTTTCTAAAAACACTCGGCAGGCGCCAGGAAATGTGTCGGTGGGTGCAACGATGCCCAAGGGCACCACCTTGAGGACCCCTGGGCTAAAGACTGGGAAGAAGGGAGGAAGGAAATGTGACTCAGAAGGTAGATGGAAAGAACTGCACCAGAGGAAGTACGCATATTAATAACACAAGGGAAATTGTGGGTCCGGGAGAAATTTCACACACAGCTTATGAACATGAGAGTCTATGTGCTGTTGGCAGGTAGGGACCAGTCAGGAAAGTAAGCTAAAGAGACCATAGGAAGGAGTGATGATGAAAGTAGTGTATGATTTTGGAATCACCCATATCTTTGTCAACAAAGTTATTATTTGGAACCAGGTTGGTATCACAGATCTGAATGTAACTTGGTACCATCTGACGGTCCACGGTAGCAATTCAATGAAGAGACCAAGCAACAGACTTTTTAGCTAGGGATCTTGCAACCAGCTCAGCATCAAGGAGCTCCCACTGACATCCATAGTTCAGAAGATGTTTGAAAAAAATCCCTCTTTGCAACACTGAAAGAAACATTTCTGAAAATAGAGATATTCAAGTTTCATTTGAAAAACGCCAGGGATCGAGTATTTGGGCCTTTGAGAGATTAAAAACAAACAGAAGTGTATATAAAATTTTACCTTTTCTCTTTCACGATCTTCCTTTGACCTTTTATTTTTTAAGCTGTCCTGAATAAAAGGATAAGTAGTTATTGTTTAAAATAAAATAAAATGGCTGACAAGTCTCTCCTCCCCTTCCCCAGGTTCCTTTGCTGAGGCAATTCATGATTCCTTGAGGAGGAGGACCTCACTTTAGTCCTCTTTATGCCTTTCAAAGAACTTGGGCTGACAGGACTCAGTATGTTCCCAGCAGCAAACTACTCTTTCCTAACCACTCTCCAGCTTCTCCACCCCAAATTCTTCATTTGCCCTCGGGGTGAGTCCCTTCACCTTTTGCCTATAGCCTGTCTCTCTTCCTGAGAAACAAAAGCAGGTATGCCAAAGCAGTAGCCTAGTGAAAGGGTCAGCCCTGCTGGACTAAGTCCACAATATAAATCCAAGATATAAAACAAGTTCTACCATATCTCTGAAAAATTCCAAGATGATTCAGTAGGTAATTACACCATACCTTGCTGTCCGATTCAGAATCTGAATCGGAGCTTTCGGATGACTTCCGTGAGGAGTGATACTTCTTTTTCTTTCTCTTTTTCCCTTGTTTCTTATCCTGGCCACAAACAAGAAAACAATTTGCATTTAATTCACACTAAATTGGTATCTAGTATTCAGTTGGAAACAAAAGCATAAACTTGAAAACCAACAATTAGAATAGCTGCATCTTATGCAAATGCCTTAAATCGAAGCTGCCTTTCTCCAATAATGCTCTACTGGACAAATAGAGCATTATTGGACAAAGGCAGCATCTATCTATAATTCACTGTTTTCTAATGCTTCCCTCACAGATTCCACTTGAATGTCCAAGAGGCGGTTTTAGAATTTTTAATGAGGAAATCAGCATAATTTCCAATACCATCAAATAACTGTTATTAAACTGAAATGCAATAATGAAATACAACAATTACAAATTAAAATTACATTTTATACAAACAAAAAGACCCAAAGTCTGTTTCAACTAACTTCAAACAACCACTCAAACCAAAAGTAATAGTGGAATTATTTTGGATTCCATTTTTCTTAAGTCCAACATTTCAATTACTTTCCAGGAAATAAATGTTATTGATATAACTGCAGTATTTAAAACATTGTGTTTGATCAAGATCTTTTAAATTAACTGACACTTCCCCAGCACTGGGATTTGAGGTTTTGGCCCCAAATCCCTTATGTATGTACAATATTTACTGATTTAGGTGGTATAATTCTCTCTGAAGTCTAAGGAAGTTGAAATGAATTTCTAAATCAGAGAAGCAAGATCTTCCTTCCATTTGTACATTTCTCTTTGTCAAATGATAACACTACATTAGTCTTTTGCACAAAGAACTAGATAGGCATTGCTGTGTACTTCACAATCTTATCCTATAAACAAGCCAAATGGAGGCCAGAGTTTTATACAAATACAGCAAAACTTCAAGGTGCAAGGAACACTGGCACAAGTCCACAGAAGGTACACAAAAAAGTTAAATCTGCAGGAAAAGCATTCTTACCTCGTCTTCGAAATCAGAAGAACTACTGGAAGAATCAGAACTTGATGAGGAAGAGGAAGATGGAGACAACTTGACCAAATACAACAAAACGTAAATTTGTGAGATGCAGAATTGGTATACACAGTCCAAGAAGGAAAAAATAAAGATTCCTACATTTATAAAAACTACATTGCATTTCAAAAACAGAGTCAAGGAGCTATTCTTAAAATTAAAGCTGCATCAGCTACATTTTTAGCCAGTATTACCTATTAAGGCAACAACAAAAGATATAAAAACTACCTTCTAAAAATTCCGGTTTTCTTCTTAAAAAAAGTTAACTACTTCTCTAAGTTTCAGTCTAAAAAAAATGAAATCTTTGCTCACCCTACTGGATTTTTTCTTCTCCTTCTTCTTTTTCTAAAACAATAAACCATTGACCAATTAGTCATGCATGTACCACCAATGAAGGCACTACCTTTTAACATATGTTCTATGGCAATAGCTGTATTACTGCACTGACTAACAACAGCTCTCACAACAGGCACATCCAGCTCCCGTTGTTGTTGAGTGAATATGCTAAAGGCATTTACCTCTTTCTTTCGTGAAGTGCTCTCGCTTCCACTTAACAATTTCTCCCTATGTTTTTCCAATTCTTTTTTCCAGTTCTGAAAAGCATTGAAAGGAACCATGAATCATTCTCAAAATAACCTTTAATGATCTCCAAAGCAATATTCATAAGACAGACATCACATTTAGGCAATTCACTGTTATTTCCCCCAGTTTTGGGGGCTACATATGAAGAGCAACATTTGGTTATATTATGTTTCTCACACAGAGGAAGTATCCTATTTGTCCCTGTAACAAGCTCATTGAAGCAGCCACTCAAAGAGAGCAATCCTAAGCAGGTCTACTCAAAAGTAAGTCCCATTTTATTCAGTGGGGCTTACTCTAAGGAGTTCTTTGGGTTGCTGCCATAGCCATGGGGACTTTGAAACAAAGCAGTTTGTGACAGCGAAAGAATAAGAAATCAACAGTGTCATCCTAAGCAGAGTTACATCCTTATACGTCCAATTGACTTATAAGAGGGTAACTCTTCTTAGCATGTAAGCCATAGAGGCATCATAGGCATTTTAAACCATAGAGCTGAAAATTCCCAAATTCCCATGTGCATGATAATCTTTTCCAAGAATGCATTCTCAAAACTGTGTTTTTCATGTCAGCAGAAGCTAGCCTTGTTTGAAATTCCCATCACGTCACTGCTCAAAAACACAGATCACTGCATTAGTTCTTAATAAGATTCAAAAACAAGTAATTTAATATCTTTTATTAAGACCCTCCAAAACAAAACGACACGGTATCCCATGGGAGCACCAAGAGTCCAGTATTTCTTGTTTCTTCGGGACAAGAGGGCAGGAAGCCTGGTTTACCCACTAGGACAGATGCGTCCCTGTTTGGATATGCTGTCAAGGAAAATGCACAGTGCAATCAACATGTACTCAGACAAAGCATACAAGGGAAAAATCACAATGAATTAGCTTTTGGTTGGTGGAGTAGGAGTGGTCAGTCATTGCTTACCCCAATGTTGGCTATTCCTTTTGACATTCAAGTGAAAGAAATGAGGTCCTGGATCCACAGACAGAAAGAGGGGCCATTTTCCCCAATCCCCCCTTCCTATAACATACCTCTGATTCCCCCCAGCTACTCCCGAGAGTCCCTGCCCACACAAAGGTAGCATTTTAGACTGCAATAGGAGGGGGGAAGCAGGAAAACTGCACCCCACAAACAGAAATCCTTCAGTCCATGAAACCTGAAGGCAGGATCCAAGCTTCTCTAGGACACCTCAGCTGCCCTTAAGGGTGAGTACCTGTGATGCCCTTTATGTTTCCTTCTCTTGGTTCCCCCGTTTTCTCTGGCATGAACTGCTTGTTTTCAGGAAGTGACCAAATCTCAGTAGGCATTATGACCTAGCAGTAATATTGCTTCAGCTGACAATAACTTGTCAGAGTGATTTTAAATGCCTTCGAAAGGAATTTCAGGAATCAAATCATGCTTCTGAAAGAAGCCTGCAAAATGGAAGCCCAGCAAATGACAAGCAGCTACTTCTGAAAATAACGACACTCAGTAACAATGACGGATGAGTAAGGGAGGGGAGACAAGCAATATTTTCTGCTGTGGCTTCTAAACAAATGCAGCAAAAGAATTAACAGATGGCTGAGAAAGAGTAAACATAAAATTAATTCCATTATGCTAATGATGGTAGAGAGGAAAAATGTACCAAAACAACAAACCTCATTCATCTTTTCTTCAAATTCTGCTAAGGCCTTGGAGCCTTTCTTCTTCTTCTCCAGTTGTTCTTTTACTTCTTCCCTTTAATTAAAACAACCACTCATTTACACAAATCTCCGAGGTATCTAGCTGCACACTCCAGAAGCCTGACATTTAGATATGAAGTATATGAAAGTTACAGTTAACCATGTTTACTTGGGAACATATCCCACGACTCCTTTGGGACTTTGGGGAGCTGGATTCAACCAGATGTTCCATTGATGAAAAACGTGTGTGTGTGTTACCTTTGGCCACCAAAAAGACTATGCTGGAGATCATGACACTTACATGGACAAAAAGCCATGTGAAATAGGGGCTGTAGTAAGGAGGGGAATTAGGGAAGGCTGAGTGAAAAAGCTGGCTGAGTCCAAACCTGTGTATGCTCAGGCTAGCACTGTAATCCTATGAAGACTTACTCCACTCTGAGTGGTTATGAGTTTAGACAGGAATGACTCTGTATAGAAATGCACTGTCAGTGTAGGAGAATTGTGCTGTTAGTTTGGGAAATGACTCCTAGAAGTACCACTTGGCTGCATCTCTTTACAAAAGTGGATTGCTTGAAGAGTGCCCATTTATCTTATAGTGTGTCAAGAACATGCTAGAAAAAGAAGCACTGGCCACTGCTACCTATGACCCTCATAAACACTGGCAGCAATATGGCTCCAGTCTCCACACCTAAGTCACAGATAATACCTCGTGGCTTTGGATGAGTATGCATTTCTTCACTGGCATGAATAGACAGATCTAGTTAGACTGGGAGCGACTGAATGAGACGGGGATCCATAACTAGGTGTACATCATTGTCATCAACCACAAGCCTACTTCTATCGGTGATCCTCCTTGCTGGATCAGGGCATTTACATATAAACATAAACCTGCTTAGTCACCAGAGTCACAATAATTTGATCCAGACTCACTCTGCATATTACTGTAAATGGGACAGAAGTCTCTACACTGCAGAAGAACACTACGGAGTATATTTGGAACGCAGCTACTTCTGGAAGAGGGAAAAAGTTACCCTTCCCCTACATACCACGTTGGTCTCGGTCTATTCAAGTAGTCTTGTATGGTAGGTCCTGATGAAGGAGCAGGCCCTCGTGATCGAGCCATTGCTATGGGATTCATATAAGCCTGAAATGATGACAAAGCAAGGCAAGATATGAGTAGAGTCATTCTCCTCTTAAAAATAGAAAGCCTTCTTCATTTTTTTTTAAAAAGAAAAAGGCTTCTGCAGGCAACTTGACAAACTATGGAAGACAACAAGTTGACAAACTGAAAACATCCCAGGGGGAAGGGGGTTGTTATCCTGATACACTGGGCATCTCCTTCAAAAACTCCTGTAGGTTCTTCTAGAACTGTTTCCTATCCTGTTTTTGCTGCCATAGCCATGGGGACTTCGAAACAAAGCAGTTCGTGATAGCAAAAGAATAAGAAATCAACAGTGTCATCCTAAGCAGAGTTACATCCTTATACGTCCAATTGACTTATAAGAGGGTAACTCTTCTTAGCATGTAAGCCATAGAGGCATCATAGGCATTTTAAACCATAGAGCTGAAAATTCCCAAATTCCCATGTGCATGATAATCTTTTCCAAGAATGCATTCTCAAAACTGTGTTTTTCATGTCAGCAGAAGCTAGCCTTGTTTGAAATTCCCATCACGTCACTGCTCAAAAACACAGATCACTGCATTAGTTCTTAATAAGATTCAAAAACAAGCAATTTAATATCTTTTCTTAAGACTCTCCAAAACAAAACAACACAGTATCCCATGGGAGCACCAAGCGTCCAGTATTTCTTGTTTCTTTGGGACAAGAGGGCAGGAAGCCTGGTTTACAAACTAGGACAGATGCGTCCCTGTTTGGATATGCTGTCAAGGAAAATGCACAGTGCAATCAACATGTACTCAGACAACTATGGAAGACAACAAGTTGACAAACTGAAAACATCCCAGGGGGAAGGGGGTTGTTATCCTGATACACTGGGCATCTCCTTCAAAAACTCCTGTAGGTTCTTCTAGAACTGTTTCCTATCCCTAGGAACAGAGATCAGATGACAACTCAGTTGTGCACAATGGGAAGATATATCTTCTGTAAACTGGCTGCATACCAAAGATGATACAGGTGAGGGCTGCTTAATTCTTCTCTTTCCTACTACCTCTCCTCCTCACCTCGGGTGAGTAGCTGTTTTTAAGTGGGGAAGGGCAAGAAAGTTAAGCAGCTTCTCTCCCTGTTTTAATCTGCCTCCCCCTGAACCGGGCATTTGAATACATGAAGTTGCCATCAACTGAGTTAGACCATTAGTCTATCAAAGCCAGGATTGTCTTCTCTGACCAGGAGCAGTTCTCCAGAGTCCCATGTCTTTCACACCATCTATTACCAACTAAAAGGGTCATGAAATGCTGGAGATTGAACTGGGATCTGCATATATAGCAGATGCTCTATGCCCTCATTTTCTTAAGTGGCTGTTAGGTTTTTGTTACAACTGTGTGCAATATTTGGCAAAAACCTTATGTGCAAATGCATCTCTGCAAATATATCATTCAAATACATATGTCAAGGAAGGTGGTCTGGTTGCAGCTTGTTGTGAAGTTTCTCAGTGGCAAATCTGGTTAGGAGATGAATATAATGTATAGGAGTAAGTCTAGTTTTACTATTTTTATCTCCCCCCCCTGCCCACTTGCTTTCTAATACCTTTACAGTTCTGTACCTCTGTTTTATATTGAAATGGCATATGTATATTATTTATTGAACATGCCCAACACAGAACCCTTACAAACACTACACTGACCTCTGATAATCCAAGCGACAAACCAGGGAATAAGTCTAAAATAGCATTACCAACCCCCAACCCCCCTTTTTGGAGTTTCTTCCTCCCTACATGAGCCTACTTTTTCTAATCCAGTACTAAGGATCAAGCCAGCCCTGGGGGATGATGCTGTTTGCAAATATATTAATCAAGCAAATCGAGTTCAGCAAGTAGACAGTGGCTTTTGTTGTTGTTGTTGTTGTTCAGTCGCACAGTCGAGTCCGACTCTTCGTGACCCCATGGACCAGATCACGCCAGGCCTTCCTGTCTTCCACCGTCCTCTGAAGTTTGCTCAATTTCATGTTTGTTGCATATATGACACTGTCTAACCATCTCATCCTTTGCCGTCCCCGTCTTCTTTCCCAGCATCAGGGTCTTCTCCAGGGAGTGCTCCCTTCTCATTTGGTGGCCAAAGTATTTGAGCTTCAGTTTCATTACCTGGCCTTCCAGGGAACAGTCAGGGTTGATTTCTTTTAGGATTGATTGATTTGATCTTCTCCAGCACCATAGTTCAAAAGAATCTATTCTTCGGCGCTCGGCCTTCCTTATAGTCCAACTCTCGCAGTCATACATGACTACTGGGAATACCATTGCTTTGACCATGCGGACTTTTGTTGGCAGGGTGATGTCTCTACTTTTTATCATGCTGTTTAGGTTCGCCATCGCTTTCCTCCCAAAGAGCAGGCGTCTTTTAATTTCATGGCTAACTCACAACAATTTAGAGTTTAGGCTGCCTTGCTCTGTCTTTGCCAAAAAAAGAATACCATAAGAAGGGATCGAAACCACATACATCTATGTACATGACTGACTTTCAATATCAGATCTCAGCAGGTCTACCATCATTTGATATGGGATGGGGGGAGGAGGAGACGTCCTCTTCCTGATGATGCACAACACAAAGCATGAAATGAGCACACTTCCAGGCTGTGCTGAGGGCAACAAATGCTTCAAGATGAATGCTGTGCCATTTGATGGAATATTATCTTTGCCAGGAGAGCTATAAATATTAGCAATGCCTGCCCATGTCGAAGTGATTCCGCAACAGCGCTAGGAGAAGACTCTGGGATGTAGCAAATAAGCACAAATTCGCAAATGAACTCAGCAGAATTCTCAGACAGCTTTTCCATGACCCTCCAATGCATCTTCTGGCCCTCAACAAAACTAAAATCAGCACTGTAACTCCCAAAGAACGCATTCATCAGATCTCACTCCCAAAAGAACATACAAGCAACGATACACACCTAGTCGGGCATTCTGGTCCATACCAAGGCCAACCAGGTCCCCCGACCACCCCCCCGCCCCCCCCCCCCCCCCCCCCGGGTCTTCCTCGCCAGCACCGCTTCTTAACGCGAAGCTTCCTTTCAGCTCTCCTGGCTACCTACCCTCCCCCTTACTTTTTGATGGCAAGGCCAGAGTGACTACTTGCCACTTGATAGGAACGAAGCCTTCCGATCGACATCTTTTAATCAAAAAGCAACCCCACACCAGAATTTTACCGCCTGCTCCTAGCTCCCCAACCGGGAAGAGGAGATCTGCAGTCTGCATGACAGACAAAGCCTACGTTCCTCTCCTTCCCACCCCCGGCGATCGCCTGACTCCGTGCAAGCCCTCCTGAGCTCCCGGGTTCTGGATCCCCCCCCCCCCCCACTGGCAGGCCCTGCTCGAAGGCCCCCAGCAGGCCTCAGGGGCAGCGCGCGGCCGAGCTCACTCACCACCCGGTTGTCCCTTTTCCCCATGGCGTGCAAAAATCCCGGCACCGACTCGAGTCCAACCACACCGGCCTAGCTGGAGCCTCTCCCCGGCTACCCGTCAAGTTTTAACGCCGAAGGCTACTGAGCATGCTCCGTTCTACGCCAACATGCGCAGTAGCGGCCAAGGAAGCCCTCTGCCTCCCTCCCCTCCCTCCCTCCCTTGCCCTCCCTTGGGAATCTCGCATTTCACGTACCAGGTTGGAAACGTGGACCGGAGGATCAGTGGAAATCGAGGGGCAGAGGGGCAGTCAGGACTCGTAGAAGTAAAAGAAGCGGGGGTGGGGCGTGTGCGTGTGTTTGTGCGTGCGTGAAGGTGCAGCAAGTACTGCATGACTCCAGACCGGGCAAATGTCTCGGATTGTAGTCTGCCTGCTGAGTGTGGAACTATTTGCTGCCAAAGGCCTGATTGTGGAAACCTTTTGAGGACGCCCCCATCGTTGCAGAGCCAAGGGTCTATACTGGGAGCCCCGAGGACTGAAAAGGGTTACGGGCTGCAGCTTCTTCATTTATTTATTTATTATTTATTATTAAGATTTATACCCCGCCCTCCCTGCAGAGCGGGCTCAGGGCGGCTTACAAGGGGCAAAGCCCATATAGAACAGATTAAAGCAATAAAACATTCATGACAGTTAATAAAATTATACTCAATTTAACAAGATGGTCTCCAGATGGTTCTCCAGGGTGATGTTATCCTATAGCTCAACCAGGTAAATCCAGTGGCCATGCAGAAATTGTGGCAGATCTTCCTGGGCCATCCTTACCCCGATGTTGTCCACCTCATTGGTGGCGGTGGTAGTGGGATGACGAACACTGGGAGGGGAGAGACCGAGAGCTGCAAATGAACCGTTTGGCTTTTTGATTTCATATGTATCAGGAAGCGAGAGAGCCGACGACAGCAACAGAATCAGTGTCCCCTGTCTCAAGGAGAGTGCACCATGGTTACTATTCTTATTCCAAAATATCCCTGTACTTAATAACTATAAATTTACCCAAAGCTTAGAGAAATTAACATCAGATTTTATCGGTTATGAGGTTTTATTAATCAAAAACAACGATTTAAAATCACAAGAGACCCTACAATCTCATCAGATTAAATAAACGTGGTGGGAAAGAAGTCAATTAATATCGAAATATAACAAGGATACCCGAATGGGTATCAATAAAAAGCTCACGGAGCTAGATAAAATTCTATTGGGTCCAGACGTAAAATTAATAGGTAAAATATACTCCTTTTTATTAGAAAATAGAGCACAAGACAAAAGCAAGAACACACCTTTGACAAAATGGAGTAATAATTTAGGGAAAACAATTGACCCACGTAATTGGGAAGGGATATGGAAGAATATGAAACAGTTAAAGGCGATTTCATTAAAAGAAAATCTGTTCAAGATATGCTATCGGTGGTATTTAGCTCGGTTCTACCCTGGGTGTAGCAATATCTGCTGGAAGTGCAAAACCCAAATTGGTTCGTTCTATCACGCCTGGTGGACGTGTGATGTGGTAAAGAACTACTGGAAAGAGATACATAAGGTAATCACACAGGCAACGAAAATCCAAATACCACTAGACCCTGAAATATTCCTACTGAATATACTACCAGACAGCTGGGAAAAGAAAGACAAACATGTACTGACGAATTTAACAGCGGCAGCCAGAATTGTACTAGCTAGTCACTGGAAAAGAAGCGAAATTCCGGATAGGTTGGACTTTATAAACAAATTAATTGAGGTAATAGAAATGGACAATTTTAACACAAAAACTCCGCGGAGGAACAAATTCAGTGTTTACATCTATGTGGTCAAACGTATATGAATAGATCGACAGAAATGTCTGAAGAAATCTGTTATGTAACATAATACGTTCTGAAGATCTATACTAGATCTGATATAGGATCGATTTTATATAGGGGGAGGGGAGGTGGGAGTGTATAGGGTGTATGGACGGTGGTTGTATTAATACTTATATGCCAATAAATAATATTTTTTTTTTAAAAAAAGGAGAGTGCACCATGGTCACTAATAGGGGAAATGACTTTGGGCGATTCTGCATTGGCTTTTCCCTCCGTTGTCTTAGCAAACCCAAGTTGGAACAGAAATTTCCCTCTGCATTGCATGCTGCTTTCACTTCCCTTGATCATCGGATTTTATGGCACCCTGGGAGGGGAGGGACCTCAGAGTCCACCCTGCAAAGGAATCATTTTCTGTCTGCACGCCACTTGGAATTTTGGGAGATCTCCACGCCTCTCCTGGAGGCTGGCAACCTTACTTGGGGCACCAGGATGAAGGTGGGAGTGGGGGAACCAGTGTATCCTCCCAAGGGATTTTCCTTGCTTATATGTGCTTAAGTGTGATGCTGTTCACTCGATACAATGATTTGTATGGCAGCATCACATAGTGGATACCGCAAGGATGTCAAACATGCGGCCCAGGGGCCAGAATTAGGCCCCAGAGGGCTTCTGTCAGGCCCACAGTGGAACTGGCTGTCGTCTGCTTCTTCCAGTTCTGTTGCTGCTGCTTCATCGTAGTTTTGCAGCTTACAGATACACACCTGAACAGCATAGTCAAGATTGCAACAGCAGCACAGACATTTTGATGTAATAATTCACAGCAAGAGGTGTCAGTTATCAGACACTGTTAAATAAACAAAATATTGAAAGAGTGCTAATGTTTTAAGCATGTTTTTATTTGAAGTTAAAAAAAACCCTTTGTGTTTGTGTCCTTCATAAAGTTTATATCTCCGCTACCTGGCATTACATTTTATGACACACATGGCCCGGCCCAACAAGGTCTCATTTATGTCAGATCCGGCCCTCATAACAAATGAGTTTGACACCCCTAGGATAGAGTATCAACACTAGGATTCCGGAGATCCAGGTTCAACTCCCCACTCCTACTGCGTGATTTTGGGCCAGTCATATTATTTCAGTGTAACCTACCTGGCGTGTATCTGATGAAGTGTGCATGCACACGAAAGTGTATACCTAGAATAAAACTTTGTTGGTCTTAAAGGTGCCAAAGGACTCAAACTTTGTGAGAAAATGGAAGAGGGGAGAACGATGCTCTAACCTGCTTTGAGTCTCCATTAAGGAGAAAAGCGAGATCTGAATAAATGAGTGCAAATGCATGCATTTGGGGGCTGCAGACCTGGTTGCTCATCGGACTGCAGAGAGAGAAAGCGCCTCTCCTTTTTTAAGTGGTTTCCTGACTGCAGCTCCTAAATAATTGCTCACACTACTGAATGCATCTGGCCAGATGATATATTTGCATCTACCAAACACCATACAAAATAACAGTTCCTGGTAATAAAAATGGTAACTGCTGATTTCAAAAATAAAGTAACATATGGTGGTGTTGATCAAGGCTTTCTCCAATTTAGGCAAATATGACTGACTGGTGGACAAGTCAGATAAACAACAGAATTATGTTCATCCGATTATTTGGCAGTGTCTTTTATCTCCAGAACACACAAGGCCTACTACAGCTGTTAAAGGCACAGGAGCAAAAATGTGGCAATCTTGTCCACAGCAAGCCTTCTGTAGGAGCATATATTCAAGACTGCCTTTCACAGATCAGTATAACTTATAATTAGGGTGATGCAGTCCAATCAAGCTAGCTAAAAAGGCATAAAAGAATTTCCCACTAATGGGCAATGTGGTATTTCTAATATGTATTAATGATTATTAGTAAATCAGGGATACAAGGTGTGACCTTGTGTAGGTGGCATGGTGTACATGGCACTGATACGTGGTGGTGGTGGAAAGGGCCGTCAAGCCACAGCCGACTTGGCAACTCTGTAGGGTGTTCAAGGCAAGAGATGTCTGCCATTGCTTGCCTCTGTGTAGCAACCCGGGACTTCCTTGGCGGTCTCCCATCCAGATACACAGCAGATCCCTTATTTATGGCCTCTCAGCTCTAGTCTGTGAGCTTCTGTCTGCCTTTTCAGTACACAGCACTGCATGGAAGGCTCCATTTAGGCTAGAGAAGATTTTAAGCATACTGTAGGGTCAACACCCATGTCCTGCCCTGATTCTGAGTTATATTTAGTAATAATGAATAATAGTCCATTTAAGTCAGGTTGAGGCCACCCTTGGCACATGCGCCAAGAGCAAGGAACAAGGCTGTTTTGCTTGGCACCCAGGGCCACATCTGATGCCAAGCAACCAAGGCATGGGCAGTCGTGCAGGAGAAGGCAACAGGCATGGCTTCCAGGACAGCACCACCATCAGCTGAGTCCAAGACAAATCCGCAAGATGACAGCAGTGCTGCTGGGACTTGGCATCTGCCAAGTACATCTCTCCCCCCCCCCCCTTTGCTGGCGCACCACCATCTTTGCAGGGAGATGTGATTTATTTTGTTTTCTTGGCCCTTGGGACAAAAAGCTGCCTACCTCTGATTTAAATAAACACAACCATTTCTTCACCCCTAGGAAGGAGGAGGAGGAGGTGCTTTTATACTCTGCTTTTCACTACCCAGAGTCTCACAGCGGCTTACAATCACCTTCCCTTCTTCTCCCCACAACAGACAGCGGGGAGGTAGGTGGGGCTGAGAAAAATCGGAGGACTGTGACTGACTCAAGGTCACCCAGCAGGTTTCATGTGGAGGAGGAGTGGGGAAGCAAACCCGGTTCTCCAGATTAGAGTCCGTCACTTTTAAGTACACCGGTTCAAATCTCATCATGGCTACAAACTCACTAAATGGTTTTAGGCAAACCACTGTCTCTCAGCATCAGTTTCCCATCTGCAGTGTGGGGGTGATAATACTGCTGTACCTTATAGAGTTGATGTGTTACTGTGATAATATAGGTGAAGTGATTTGAACACTGAAAAAGCTACACATGTTAAATATTTAACTTAGTAACTTATTGTCAGTTATTTAGTTTTTTTGGGTGGATGGGGTTTACTAGGCTAGATTCATATGTGGATTCCAAGCAGATTTGAACTTCAACAATCCATTTTTGGATAGTGTGTTGGACTTGAAGAGATATTTGTTGTAGCCTCATCTCAGTGATGAACACAGGGTGGCTTTGGGCACTAAATATACACATAGATATATGTGTAATTAGAGGAAGCACAAGTGAGTTGTT